CATCGGGTTTGTGAAGGGTTAACCTTTTGTTGTCCAGATGCACCGATCGACTTTTATCTTCCAACTTAAAGTTCAAAGTATGTTACATTGTAAAATCGTCTTAATCACAAATTATAAAAAAGTGTTAAAAAGTTATTTTTAATTATCTTATAACTTCTATGTTCAGTTGTTTCAGTGAAACTGATCAAGAAGTACATTTCTGCTCCGTGCTGCAGAGCTGAAGCTGTGTGACATCCCCTTGATGTCCTGCTGCACTTCTCTTCTCTACAATTTAGATACTGTAACATTTTAAATAAATAATCCATGCTGCATGGATTGTTGATTATAGTATTTAAATTTAAATAGTTAATTTAAGGAGGGAGATTGGGAGTAACAGGTGATGAGTGTGATTACATCCTGGCACGTCATGACAAAGTTTACCGAACTTGAATTGAATTTGGACTACTCTATCCCTACTTGCCGGTTCTTAACTTATCGCAGGCGGACGTGGTCCTAAACACCCGCGATAAACGAGGGACCACTGTACCCTAATTTCTGGACTATAAGCCACTTCTTTTTCTCACAAGGTTTGAACACCGTGGCTTATACAACGCTGCAACTAATTTAGGGATTTTTTTTGGGACATGCTAACGAGCGTCAAAACATTTAGCTACGTCACACCTGGGCGCTCACATAGCTGCCCAATATACATCTCTCTTGGGAGGTGGATCCTCGTGACTCAAAGGGACTACCTGTATAAATAAAGGTAAAAAACAAAAAAGATCTGATCAATGAAAATATTGAACAAGACACAGTGGAAAAATTAAACGGGGAGAGGAAGCTGATGAAACAGGGATGGGAGAAGAGAACAGGGAGGTGGGATTCCCCTGAATGTGCAGAGCAACTTTTGCTCAAGTCTGTAGGACAGCACACGCTTGTGCAGGAGGAAAATGAACGTAGCGTTCAATGTCTTCCAAATAGGCTACTGTTTTTTTTTTTTTTTTACCAGCCACGTTACAGGGACTTTTCAGAAATATATATACATATATATATATACATATATACATATATACATATATATATATACATATATATATATATATATATATATATATATATATATACTGTATGTGTTGGAGCCTAAATAAAGTTTATAATGGTTCACAAATGTAACTGTACAGTTTTGAGTTCATAGGAGATACACTGAGATTCATTTAAAATGATAAAGGTATAGGTGTGATATTTGGTTTATTTTTGTAATGATAGTGATCAGAATGTAAGATTTTGAGTTATATTATCTTACAGTAGCAGTGTAAAATTAGGTGTTTTGATGATTACCTACATTGGGGTGGGTGTGGTTTATTGTCAGACTGTCAGCAGTCAGCTGCTTTATTTGTAACATGAGCAGCAGGGAGGGGGCAAATCTAGTAATTTTCTCCTTGAAATTGTATTCATCCACCATATTAAGACACTGAAAAAAACATGTGTACAGTGAAGAGCATCCTGTGCTCCAGCATCAACATGTGGCATGGAGGCTGCACAGCTGCAGAAAGAAAAGCTTAGCAGAGAGTGGTGAAGGCTGCACAGAAGACTGTTGGAGTCAGCCTCCCCACCATCACAGACATCTACACCCTTAGATCAAGGAAGAGGGCCACCTGCATCATGAAGGACCCCACTCACCCAGCGCACACACACTTTTTGCCCCACTCCCCTCATGCAGGAGTTTGCGGAGCATTAAGTGTAGAACCACTAGACTGAGGAACAGCTTCTACCCTGAAGCTGTTAGACTCATGAATCTCTAACCAGGATAATCACTAAGGAAAAAAAAAATCACTGTAATGCCACTAACTTGTGATATGTGACTTATCGGTGCTGCTGATTATCCATGCTGCTGATCTCATGCCTATATGCTGCTGTTTTCATACCCATCTGCTCTCTACAGACTTCTGTTCGGGCTGCTGTTTAATACACCGTACTGTTTTACATATTATCTTAGATCTTTTAGCGTATCATTTCATGTTTGTTTAGCATATATCTTAGATCCTTATAAACAGTTTCTTTCTATACTTTATATTTCTGCTATTTTGTGGCGTAACTGGGACCTTGAGTACACAATTTCATTCCACCTCATGTACCACATGTGATACGAATGACAATAAAGAACCTTGAACCTTGAAAAATGTGGTTACATCATAAACATTGGAATTTAAAAAAAAGAAAAATCGTAAATTGCTCTCATATGGAAAGTGCACTGCAACATACAATTTATTTGTATTTATTATATTATCCAGCAGCTTGCATTTGAAAGTTGGTGAAAGTTTGACAAGTATCAAGAAGAATTTCATGTTCAAGGCAATTCACTGTTCTGTAAAGGCTTGTTTTCAATATTTTCTACATTTAAAAACAACACGGACCAAATAAAAGTGATTTTTATCTTTTCAATAATCAATCTTATTTACCTTTCTGTGCATGTAAGAGTGAGACTCCCAACACAAAACACTTTGACTAGGTAAGATGTTTATTGCCTGCCAAGTTGTTGGTGTGACTTGCACACAAACAAAGCATGAGCAGCTGTCTCACAGATCATCACTGTTTCCTCGATTCAGGCGCTTCTGCTAACTGTAGTATGACTCAGCCACAAGCAGAGCACACCAGATGTTCTGCTGCTGGCACCAAACACATAAACACGACTCTCCAGGCAATCCTGCCATCTGAAGAACTGAAAACCCCGTGGATAACTTATTTTTAAAGAACTGTCCCAGCATGGAGGGAAAATCCTTTTTAATAAGTGAAAAGCTTAACATTGGGCTGCAGGCCAACGTTAAGCTGAAATTGTACCGCTAAGGGGCAAACAGAACATGTAAAAGCTTTAAGATTGAGTGAAAATCAGTAAATGAGGACCGTGTGTGTCTTTCATGTTGCTTTTCATCAAGAACGCTGCTTTTTGAAATGGTAAACACCAGTGCCTGTCTGTGCGTGTTTAATCGACCACCACGCATTTAGAAAGTTTCCATTTCATCCAGTACAGCTCCATGGTTCACAGATAGGAGCATAAAACAACACCTACACATTTACAGTGATGATCAAATATTTGAAGTCTTGTGAAATTGGGCAAATTTGACTAATGCATTGCAACTTTCTCAATTTGCACCTCGTAGTGACATGCCACATTGTTGTCAGGTAGTGCCATGTAGCGCATTTTTTTAATACAACTATCACACGCCCCTCACAAAAAAAACACTGGATTTCCTCAGTGTCAGTTTCTGCCATCAGTTGTTCTTTTTAAGGATTATAAAGAAAAAATCAGTGAGCTCAGGTTTATTGTCAGGATACTGGCATCCGCCATCCACGTTGATCAATATTACCCTTGAAAATGAAGAATCTATAATCCATACCACCAACAAATGTAGTTCTTTGATAATAATTAACCTCAGTTACTGTGACAGGGACACAAAATAAAAGGAATTTCCTGAAATATTTATTAAAACAATTAGTTTCATGTGATTAAAAAAAAGCACTAACATGTATTCTTCTTCTTCTTTCGGCTGCTCCTTTCTTCAGGTGTCGCCACAGAGAACTAACTCACGTAAATACTTGGCTATTATTTTTATGCCAGATGCCCTTTCTGACACAGAGACAGACCACCGAGCTACCACAGCCCTCTGTGTGGAGCAGAGAGCTGCCATTTAGGGTACTCGGGGGAGCAGATGGTGGGGGTTAAGGGCCTTGCTCAAGGGCCCAGAGTGGGGCAAATGATGGTGGAGACAGGTGGGGGTGCTTCATATTTTCCACCCACATGTTGACGTTTTTGGTTTTGGGGGTTGAACCAGTGACCTTCTCGAACCTCTGCACTCCCCTCATTCATCATTGACTCATACATTGTATATTATTTTGCGTATTAATAAAAATCAAATAAATAAATGATCAAGTATAGTACTGTTGTCGGGCAGCACGGTGGCGCAACTGGTAGAGCTGCTGCCTCTCAGCGAGCAGGTCCCTGGTTCAAATCCCAGTCCGGGGGTCTTTCTGGGTGGAGTTTGCATGTTCTCTCCGTGCATGCGTGGGTTTTCTCCGGGTGCTCCGGTTTCCTCCCACAGACCAAAAACATGCATGTTAGGCTGATTGGTAACTCTAAAATTGTCCCTAGGTGTGAGTGAGAGAGTGAATGGTTGTTTGTCTCGTTTGTCTATGTGGCCCTGTGATGGACTAGAGACCTGTCCAGGGTGTACCCCGCCCCTCACACAGTGATTGCTGGACATGGGCACCGGCGACCCCCATGACTCAAAATGGAAGAAGCAGGTAAAGACAATGGATGGATGGATGGAATACTGTTGTCTCGTTTGTCTAATTTAATTTCTCTTTATCTACTTTTAGGACTTGTGTGAAACTCCGATGATGTTTTAGGTCATATTTATGCAGAAATATAGAAAATTCTAAAGGATTATCAGACTTTCAAGCACCACTGTATTAGTGGTAAGGTATTTACATTTGTTTATGATACTTTTTTTTAAAAACATCTTGCTTTATTTTAAACTGTAATCCCTAATCAGGATTATCAATGAAAAAAAACAAAAAAAACAAACACTGTAATCGCCACTTTGATTGTTGATATGTGCTGCTGATTATCCATGCTGCTGATTTATTTCATGCTGCTTTGTTCATTCATACTCATCTGCTCACACAGACTCATGTTCGTGCTGCTGTTTGGAGTACTGTTTTTACACTATTAAGTGTTTAGCATATTTCTTAGTTCATATCATAGATCTTATTACCGTTTTCTTTTACAATTCATAATTTTACTATTGTTGGATGTAACTGGGACCCTGTGCACACAGTTCCGTTCCACCTCATGTACCACATGTGATGCAAATGACAAAGAACCCTGACCTTGAATTGTGTAGTATATTATTTAAACCCTCAGTACACCACGTAATTCAGTTTAGAAGTTCAGGGTTAATTTCAGATTGAGTTTTATTTTGGAAATGGTCCTTAGAAAAATGATAAATAAAAAGTTTACTCACCTCTCATGATGTGGCGCACTATTTTGACCGAGCCTCCTCTTACATTAAGAATTTGGTGAACCCTCTGATAAAGCTAGAAGTAAAAACAAATAAATAAATTAAGCAATATTTTAAATGTATAAATATGCGTGTACATCGTCTGTGTTCTCCACTTATCTAAATGTTCAGTTTTTAGTTTCAAAATGGCATATTCCATTTTAACTTCAATCAGACTCCAGAGCGTCCAGAGACAAGACTTTAATTTTAAGATGTATTAACCATCTTTTCTGTTGGTATAAAAGAGTTTAGCAAACAATATGTTTAATGTTGACATTTTCTTAAAATGAAAACATTAAATGAATGTGTAATGTGAAAACTCTTATTTTAGTTCTACTTTATTAATGCACATAAACAGATCAATAGAACTAATAAACACAGAGGAATAATCAATATCAAACAAATGAATGGTTTAATAAAAAGGAATTATAGACCTTCACAGTTTTTATTGCTCTTTAAAAAAACAAATTGCCCATAGCTTGATAAACAAAATGTTGGTATTAAGCATTGCCTTATCCACTAAGAAAAAACAAAAGCAGCATTCTGAGCCCAATTAAAGCCACATCAGTGCTGAAGTGAGACAGCCAGTTGGGCACAGCAGCATCTGATGCCTGACTGCTTATATAGCTTGTTTGTAACGATAATTGATTGGCGAGAAAACTCATTTAGGAAACCAGGGTCAGTGTGTGTGTGTGTGTGTGTGTGTGTACCTGTGAGACCCCCGAGTTGCTGATCTCCACCATAATATAGCAGAGCAGCTGAAGAACAAACAGTCCAGCGTCCAGACGGCGAAGGTAGAATTCATCCTCTATGATGTCATCAAGAATCTCCCCCCGACGAACCATGTCCTGCACACAAACACAAAACACAATGAAAAGCCCAGCATTTACTGAACACATATCGCCCGCCATCTTTTAGGCCAGAAATTTAGACAAAAATCATCTTTTGTTGAGAAATAATTCAATTCAATTCAATTTATTTGTATTATTTATTTATTATGCACCAAGTCACAAAAGAAGTCGACTCAGGACACTGAACAGAAACATTCATTTATACAAATAATAATTTAACACTATTTATCTGAGGAGCAGACTGCTTTAAATTTAACTCCATGCAGAACTCTCATCTTGAGCAAGCATGAAGGCGACAGTGGAAAGGAAAACCTCCCTCATGAGGAAGAAACCTTCAGCAGAACCAGGCTCAGGACACGCGGCCATCTGCTTCGACCGGCTGGGTATGGTAGGAACAGATACACAATGGCAGGTCAAGATTCACAAAATAAGATAGAAATAGTATCAAATGAAAATATTACATTTTAGCAATTTATTTAAGAAAATGAGGTCAGTTTGTCCTATAGCAGCATTACAAACAAACCCTAACTATAGGATTTATAAAAAAGGAAAGTCTTAAACCCAGTCTTAAAACTGGACGATGTGTCAGCCTCATGAACAGAAACTGGAAGTTGGTTCCACAAGAGAGGAGCCTGATAACTGAAAGATCTTCCTCCCATTCTGCTTTTGGAAACTCTAGGAACCGTGAGTAAGCCTGCAGTCTGAGACCGAAGTGCTCTGTTAGGAAAATATGGAACAATAAGGTCTCTAATATAAGATGGAGCTAGGTTGTTGAGAGCTTTGTAGGTTAGAAGTAATAAGGAAGTGGTAAAATAAATAAATAAGGACGTGGTATTGTTTTGGTCAAACCTTGAAAATAACATTATGCGCCATCTTGCGCAATATCGCGAGATACAACGTTCAGACTGACGCACACAGACACTGGACAAAAAACCATTGCTTCGATTTCTCCGTCCAGTGAGGAGTGATTATCAAACTTACAAAAAAATAATAATTTGATGTTTGTTGCATGAATGGGGGTTTTAATAGAAAAAAATCTGAGGCAAAATATAATTTGAGTGTTGTTTAACACCATTCTCCACAAATCCATTTTCTTCATGGATCACTCACACAAATCAATAATTTAATCGCTAACACACACACACTAATACTAACACATACATTTGCACACTCGCATAGTTATTCATTTTAACAGTCCTGTCAGTATGCCAATAACACGACACTGCCAATAAGCACAGAGTCCACATTAATCATCATTAGAGATTAAGAGGTAAGCCTGGGGGTGGTGAGCAGAGCTGGTTAAAGCAAAAGCCACTAGAGTGATATAAAAACACAGATCAGGTAAACAGCGTCTGGTCAGCGTCGGTTTAATGAAACTCGAATGAACATTATTCACATTATTTCTGACAAAACATGTAGGCTTTCTGAACTGCACACTCTAAGAACAAAAATACTGTCCCTTATTAAATAGGGGAAGTATTTATTTTGTTCCTGCCATTTTTATTTGATTAAATATATAGAAAAAATAAACTGAATCAAAAATCAAAAGCAAATTTTGATTTAACTAGAAATAAATAATGACGTTGTTGAAGTTTTTTTTGTTTCAAGTTATTTTAGGGATAGAAAAAAGCAAAAATTTCTAATAAAAAAAAAGTTAAGGTTGCAATAATGGGATTATATTTATTTGCTACACTGTGTCCTATAAACATCTTAATTTTTTTAATGAGAAATAAAAGTACACTCACATCCTTTGAAAACAAACCCCCACTTAAAAATGTTAACTGTAGCTTTATTTTTTAATTCTCAGCAAATCAATGTAAGTGATTAAAAACAAAAAGTGCAAATAAAGCCACCAAATGTGGGACATTTGTCTCTTTTCTTTCCCCAGGGTAAAAACACTGGCGTACAATTCTGTTTTATCACAAAGAGGACAGTTATCACACTATAAACCCGTCCCACAGCTTGGCCTTTTGTTGCCTGATAAACAAACAAGACATGAACCAAAGCCATTTGAATATAAATGTGTTGTGCATCCCATCTTTTTTTTTTTTAAAGAAAGTATTTTTAGTTCCCAGGAGAGTAACTGGGTTCATTATTTTGAGGTGAAGTCAAACAGATCTCAATCTAATTTTGACAGAAACAAACACAGAATGAAGCCCTAATTGAAAAATAGATACCGTAAGAAACAATACATACATAGAATCTGAGGAAGATTAAAATTAATCATGAGACTGATCCTTTTATTGTTTTTTACAGGGAATGAGACTATTATGTTACCCTCATGGCTTCCCATGGTCGTCGCGGTATCACAGGACTGGAGGCAGTCTCTGACGGAGGCATTGGAAAACTCAATTATCCTCCCGTTTCCATTTTAGCTATCAGCCTCTCCACTGCAGATGGACAAAAAAATATCCCATAAATGTGGAACAATAGGACCATAGTCCATCTTGTACATGCTGACGGGATAAATTTACTGGACTGCAGGGTTTGAGCAATCAGGGATTTACAAAAATACATATATTACTGGCACCATGTGAAGGAAAGAAGGTAATAGAACAAAACCACAATGAGAAAAATATGTAAGGTGACTTTTTCTAATGGTTCAAAGTTATGTCTTTTCTTTCTAGAACAATTCAAGGACTTCTTTAATAACTTTAACTTTAGTAAATATTGCAAGTGATCAATGTTTTTTGTTTTTGCTTTGTCAATATATGTTCCGTGTTTTGTTCACATTGTATGTATTTCAAATAAAACATGTATTAATTAACCAATAAAATGCTAGAAATCACTGACAACGCATCATGTCAACTTCAGGAGAATCAAGAGATAAATGTCATAAAATGGTCGGTGCAAGTTATCTCGCAATAGCAAATCAGTGTGGTTAATAGTTCAGTTCACATCGTTTGTAGAAGTTGAAAGATATAGCACAACAAAAACCTCCCACCAAACTGACTCCACGTTTGAGAAGTGTATATGCAAAGGCTTCAAAACAAGCCCAAACTACGACACACATGACAAATTAGGAGCTAAGTGGTTGATCAATCTGGCACAATTTCAAAAAACCAACATAAACTCAATACCATTAATCATCTCATTACAAAGCCTTGTTCAGCTGGGAGTTATTGAGTTTGTCCTGCACTCAAGACCATTTTTTTGGGTCAATTGTCTGATCAATTAAAACAGATCATTCCTTTGCAGGAGGGACCATAGACACAGGAATTTAGGAGTAGCATTTCTTATATTTTTATTTAAAAAAAATTACAACTCTGAAGCAATAAATCACAAACACATGCAAGTCTCTTTAAAAAAAAGCTGTTGACTGTTTAGTGATGAGATTAGCTTTTAACACCATTATGGACTGGGCTTAAAACACATCAATAAAACCCATTAGAAAATCACCACAAATTAAAGCATACATGTATTACTTGAACTGATTTAGCATTTGAATTTGGCAAAACCAACAGATAACTACTTAATGCCGCTACCATAATCCTAATTTCATGAAAATTTAACTAATTAAACTAATATGCTGATGGTAACTAGTAAACAGTTGTTTCTGACTGAAAACATACGTGTCTTAAAGAACATGTTCCTTGTGTTTTGTAGTTCATCTCTCAGGAAGGTCTTCTTACTGCTGGAACTTTGAACTAAATTTGTGGCTGGAAAAAACCTCCCAGAAGTCAAACTGAGATACACCCAAAGTTCTTATCAGACAGGTCTTTGAAGACTAATGAGAGTTGGTATTTCAAATTTTGGCAATGTGCTCAGGATTCATTAACATCTGTAAGATTCTAACATCTGCAACAGCTCTTCTCAATTGGCTTCTATGTTGTTAAAACTGGTCTCCCAAGGAATAAAAAAAAGACAAAAAAACAACATTTTTAAATAAGATCTTAGACAAGACGCCTGTTGCACCCTCCTGGGAGCCTCACTGTAATGGAATGGAGAAAAGATGTTCAACACACGATGAATCAAACCAGATCTTTGGATTTGAGTGACGACTGGAAGGTTTTGAACAATGGCACGTGCATTAAATATTCATTATTGTGAGCTGTGGGAGAGGACGTCTGGGATACTTAAAGCCGAGCCGACGCTGCGGCAGTGTGGCGGTACTCATTAAAGCAGCACAGTTTTGTCCACTCTGAGTTTTGACACTGTGGCCAATATCTTTATGTGTCACTTCGGTCCCTCTGGCAAACGCCGGACAGAAGAAGCGAAGAAAGAAAAACGTGTTGAAAGAAAGGATTGGACAAGTAAATTACTGCAACCTCAGGGGAGCCTGCAGCCTCGCTACAGTACAGACAAAGTAATAAGCAGTGATTTTCTGTTCTGGCCTCTTTACTGTAACTCAGCTGCTTGGTGCTGTTTGTGTAAAGGAGTGTGTGTGATTTATAGAGGACAACGTGCAATTTGAGGCTCGTTCGGTATAATTTCAAAGCATATAGGCCTATTTGTGCTATTGCAGTTTATGCTTGAATGTGTTTATCTGGTTGTTATTCCTACACTTTCTTCCTGCAGGGATGCTTAAATGCAGATACAACGTTCCAAAACCCACTCTCTGTGAGTCTTTGTGTAAGAAACAATGTTTACGGGCCTTAAGGCCTGACTGCTTTGTCTGACTTTATGATAAACATAAAATAAATTGAATCTAAAAGAGCAAAACTTTGTGAGAGCAAGAGGCAACATCATGAATTCTTGTTGTGAAAGGGAGAAAAAGAAGAGCCCTACGCTCTCGGGAGCACAGAAGTTTCAGTTTGTTCACAAAGTGGGGCAAAAAAAAACAAAGCAGTCGTTTCTGAGAGAAGGGAGGAACTTGCAACTAAAACAAGTTCAATCTGGGCTTAGCTTTGCCCAAATATTAAAATACTTTCCACCAGAATGGAGTTTGACTGATTTCCAGTTAACTTTTTTTTTTCCTGATTTTAGGCAGCTTAAATGGGTTCAATACCACAATTTGTCTTCAAAAAATGCTATTCTAGCATTATGAGAGATTGCTG